ACATGTTTACGAACACCACTGCCTCAAAATAAGGATTAGAGTCGTGAGATTCATGGCCGCTTATTACATATGACAAGACTCAATGTAATGGAGAATGCAAATCATGAAAAATACATTTTAACTGAAAAAAGGAGAGAAATGTGAATATTGAGTTTAATTTAAAATCAAAAAATAATGACTTCGCTGCACTGTGAATTGTGTCATTATATCAGTGAAGGAAAACTAATTTAGGAAACTGATGAGTAGGACTTTATAAATGTGAATTCTCAAAGATGAGCATTGTACTAATTGAAAGCCATTCTATAGTCTGGTACTATTCAGTATGTTTCAATCATTTTATTTTCAACCAGATTGTGCAAACATATTCTCACTTTCTCATAAGATTTACTTGTAATATAGATGGTCAAAGTGTTTCTGCATTACAATGAATTGTTTGTCAAGCTGCAGGTTTCGCAGTTCTTAACAAGCTTGAAATCTATTCAATAAGTATTTTTTTCTTTCTAATATTTCGGGTTTATTTTACAAAATATTTCTGCAGATTCTTACTGAGTAGGAAATGTTGCTCGGCTGCTGCTATGCTGCTAATGTGTTACATCTGATAACTTTTAGCAATTTATAACTCATTGTTTGTCCAATGACCAATTTGTGTTTTTTCTAAAATAAAAAGGAACAGAAAAGAAGATTTAAGCACATCAGTCAGCCAGCGCGGAGTCTCTGTACTGAGCTAATTAAATGCTGTGATTAAAAATGAAACTACTTGTAAGTGTAATTTTGATTTTGGCTTTATGGGGGCAGGCATTACCAGAGACCACATGAAGAAGATCACATACAACTTGAAGTTTATGACAGTGAACTATTATCATTTCCCTTCACAAAACAATTAATAAATTAAACTTGGGCTGAATTTATTTTTGTTAATGACAATGAATATATATTTGTTAATCCCTCTTTTTTTTCCCCTTTTGTTCTTAAGTTGTCAGTGAGTGTGTTTTTTTCCAAATGAATGGTTGTCCTTGACAAATTACTTCTTTTCATGTTTTTGTTTTTAAAGAGAAGTACAGCAGAGAGGGATATTAATTCTTTGTGCTTTGGTTCCTATTTTGTCTGTTGTCTCATTTGTTGCATGGGAAGAGGATGGCATTGATGAAACAGAACTGCATGTAGTAGGTTGTATGTATCAAGAACTGTTGGTATGTATTACTAAAATTACATACATATATGCAAAAAAGTTTGTCTGCATTGTACGGTTTAAATGTTTATTATCATTTGTTGTACACAAATACAGCATATTGAATAAAATATTTGTATGAAGACACAGTGCAACCATAACCCATATACTTTGCACTATTGAAATGTGAGTTGCAATCTCTGGTGCTATCCGAGAAGAGAATGGGACAACAAGGGTATGTCATTTTAGCACCATTGTCCAGTCTTTTCATTTTCTAAAAATATTTTCATCCTTTCTTTTTCGGTGTGCTCATCACATCAACATTGAGTGAACTAAGTGTGATTATAAACCTTTCCAAATTCAACCTCAGCATTGGACCTGTGATTTGTATTGTGTCAATTTTTAAATTATAGAATAATCAGGATGTTTTGGCACTGAAAGTCTGTTCGCACATTCCCAAGTGGTCTCAAGAAATCGCTGTTGAATTGTGGTTGATGTTAGGTGCTTCTGTGTGATATGACTGTTGGAATCAAATAGGAACATGGTATAGTCACAAATAAAAACCCATCTAGTCTGGGAGATTGGTGTTTGGTGTTTGACTGTGTCAAGCATTAATCTGAAGATTGTTAAATTCATGTGATGTATAGGAGTTAATACAACATTTTTGACTCTGTATGAACTGAACAAGTCATTCCATTATGAACAGTTACCAGTGTACTAAAAAGTAACCACCTGCTCAAATTAGTTAGGAAATAGCAATAAATATATTCTCACCAGTTCTGCCACCATCCCCTGAACAAATAATTTTTAGTAATGCTTTAAGATGAAAGAGATATTCTGTCTGTCTAAGAACATAAGAAACGGGAGGAGGAGTTTGCCATTCAACCCCTTGAACCTGCTACAATATTCAGTAAGTTCGTGGCTGATCATCTATCTCAACTCCACTTTGTGCTCTATCACCATACCCTTTAATTACTGTATTATCCAAATATCCATTAACTTTGTTGTGACATACTCAATGACTGAACATCTAGTCCAGTTCAAAACAAGGGGTTGAATAACACAGTTTACAAATAGCTGTAATAGAGACTGTGTCCCTTAGGCAGACCCTTGGGATCAAGGATTATTGGCTTCAACACTGGCTTGATGGGTTCCAAGTAGATATGTCCCACAACCGACCTGCAGACTCTTCCTGAGGATTGATGAGTTGTTCGGGCTTTTGTGTGATGTGTCTGACTCCTCAGCACTTTTCCAGTGAAGTCTCCCAACATGTTCAGTTCCTTCCTGAATGAGCCTTCGCTGTTTTGGTCATACACAATGGTCTTTCCTGAGTCAGTAGAGTGTTCGACCACTTCATGGATGCTTTGAGGACATCCCTAAGGTTTGTCCACTGGTCTCCAGAGACCCTACTGCCACAACTGAGTTCTGATGGGAGCAGATACTTCAGGAGGCTGGTGGTCAAGTGAACATAGATGTCCAGCTCAGCAGAACTGGTTTTTGATTGAGTAGAGCTTCGATGCTGGGCAAGCTGGTTTGTAAGAGAAAGTTAGAAATAATGAATAGAGATAATGGCAAATGAAAACCTGCTTGAGCAGTTTTTCTCAGAAAATGATTGACCAGCCAATATGTGAACAACTGCATTGGCCAGATACACGTTTGAACTCATGTCCATGGCAAGGGAGAGACGGGACTGAGTCATATTTTTGAAAACAGCTGCAGGCACAGGAAAATCTTTCTCTGAGTTTTTGACCCGTGATGGAATTTTTTAAAAAATTATTGTGAGGAGAGAGAATGTGTTGCCAGTGTTGAATGGGACGAAGAAGAGGTCCAGCAAAGAATTAGTTCTGCAAGAGAGCTGCATCATTAAATGCCAGGCGCTGGAAAGTTTAAGTCATGGAGAGTCCTAGAACTAAATGTAAAGCTGAAAGGGTGAGTCCTCCACGACCCTTCACAATCCTGCCAACTGTTCGAGGGATGTTAACCCTCCAGGACTGCCCTAATTACCAGGGACCCTGGAGTAAACAAAACCCTGGAGAAAAATCGTAGGAGCGATGAAATAAATTATGAAATAAATACCGAAAGTTTTGAAACTACTCAGCATGTTTGGCAGCATCTGTGGAAAGAGGAATGACGTTAATGCTTCAGGTCTGTGAGCCTTCACCAGAACTCAGAGTAACTTGTGTGTTTGTTTCATTTTCTTTTAAAAGGAGTTTAGAAGAATGAGAAATGATCTTGTTAAAACATAAGATTCTGTGGGGAAGGGCATTGACAGAGAAGATACTGGGAGGATACTTCCTTTAATAGGTGAATTTAGGGACATTGTTTCAGTACAAAGGGTCTCTCATCCATTTAAAATATATATGAAGCGAAATTCCATTTTCTGAGATGTTCATTAACATTTAGAAATCTGATGCCTGGCTAATTGAATATAGTAAAGGCTGAGTTATTTGGATTTTTGAATTACGAGGGAATCAAGGGTTTTGGTATGGGCTGGGAGTGTGTTGGGTGGGACAGGAGTTTAGGGAATCAGACAAGAAACTGGAGTTGCATAAGCCATCAGAATGACCAGGATCTTGTTGAATGGTTGAGCTAGTTCAAAAGGCCAAATGAGCTCAGCCTGCTCCTATTTCCCATGATTTTATATTTGAAGGGTTATCCTTACTTTTGTGACTAAAATATGGAAGATTGGGGGAATGAATGCTGTTTGCAGGACAAAGAAGGATCAACCAATTAGTAATGAGGATTCACTTCACTTTCTGATTTGTATCAAAAAATGGGCACGGGGTTGGACATAGTGGGATTTTGCAGCATAGGAGGGGTTGTGGCAAGTTGAAGGCAGGTCTTCATGGGATGAAATGTTGAGGGGTCCAAACAGAGTTAGCAATCTTATGGGAATTAAATGCATCTTCCCAGGACAACACTATTTATTCCAAGGTGCACAACACATTTGTAACAGGAATCCTACTCCTGCCAAGCAGCATCACTTGTACCTTTGTGTACATTAGTACAAGTACACCGTAGTAATATGAGATTCGGTCCAACTGATCCATGCTGGTGTTTATGCTGTTCCTAAGTCTCCTGCTCCATTTCACCTCATTTTCATCTCGATGCTCCTTTCTGTCTTGTGTTTATCCAGCTTTCCCTTAAATGTATTAAATGTTAAATACCATTCATTCAACCTTCCCTAGCATGTTCCATGTACACAACAATCTCTTGAGTTCTCTATTGAATTTATTAGTGACCATCTTATTTTGAAGAGTTTTTTCAGGAATTCGTCCAATGGAGAAATTAACCATTTTACCGGGTATAAGAAATAATGTATTGAATCTGTACAGATTGAAGAATCACACAGGAGTGCCACATTTATTTTATTCAAAGTTTAAGTACATCTTCATAAAAGCTTGATTAAGAATAGGCTACACAGTGTGAAAGTTGTTTAAATCACTGTTGAATGACTGTCAAAACAGGCAGTTTCTAAAACCAGTCCATATTTATTGCAACAATCATTTGCAGATGAGTCAAAGTTCTTGGCTGTGTGCAGATTACTGCCAACAGATTCTCTTTGTAATGAGTGGCATTTTTGCCTCCAACAGCCAAAGTTATAGTTATGACCTCAATTTCTAAGCAATTGCTTGGCATACAAGAAAACAGTTTGCTGGCGCATCTGTAGATTATTAGTTATTGAAGCTGGTCTCATTAAAAGGCATAATAGAACCATGGCGTCAGGCACTCATGCTAATAAACCCAGTACATTTGTCACTAAAGGTCATTTGCCACTTATATTGATGTGTTGGCAATGAAGCTATTAGTCTCTGATGGTGCATGCCAAGTAGCAAACCTAAAATGGATATGTTACCAAGTAATTTCTTACAAATTTCCAAGGCTGGTTCGGATAATATCATAAGTCGTGCAGCAGAAGACAAACTGTATTCAAGTGTCCTCCCCAATACTGTACAATCTTCAGAAGCTTTCCAGCCCCATCCAGATTTCACAGGCATTCCCAGTCCATTCGTCAAAGCAGTCACAGATTCCACAATCACAGATACCATTCCCTGTGTTGCAAAAAAAATTATGTTGCAGTTACAACACAAAAGTATGGAGTGCTGATTCTCTAAATAAATTGCAGATTACATATCTCATTGTGTTTTAACATCATTATTATTCAGACAGTTGAGTTGTTTGATCAGCATTTTGGCAGTTCTCAGAGGTATCCCAATTGGAAGATTTTATGATTAACAATTACTGATTAAAGTCATAATGAAAGAGGGGATGGTTTAATATGCTAATTATTAGAGAGATGGTATTAGGCTGACATGTACTAGACATTGATAAGACACCAGGATCAGATGAGATGCATCTAAAGATACTGAGAGACGTAAGGATAGATATTATTGAAGTACCATTCATAATCTTTCTCTTTAGACTTGGCAGAGTGGGAAAGTTGCAAATATCACTTCCTTGTTCAAAAAGTGCTGTAAACATAAATTCAACAACTACACTCCAATCAGTTTGACCTCAGTGGTGGTAAAACATTTAGAAATAATAATCTGGAACAAAATTAACAGATGCTTGGAAAATGGATTATACATGCAAACCAGCACAAATTTGCTAAGGGCTAATGCTGTTTACCCAACTTGTTTGCGTTTTTTTGATGATGTAATGGGATGAGTTGATGGGGGTAATGTGGTTGATCTAAGGGCTTCCAAAAGTCATTTGACAAAGTAGGATATGCAGAAGTGTCAGCAAAGTTAAACCACATCGAATAAAAGGGACAGTAGTGGCATGGCCATGAAGTTCGCTGAGTGGCAGGAAACAGAAAATAGCAATGACCAGTTGATTTTTGGATGGAAGGAAATGAAACAGTGAGGTTTCCCAGTGGTCAGTACAAGAACCACTGATTTTGTTTGATTTATATTAATGGCCTGGATCTAGATGTGCAAGACACAATTCGAAATGTGTCAATGACTAAATCTTAGATACACTGTGAACCATGAGAACAGTAGTGATAAACCTCAAAAACATGCTGTGGAACGAGTGGAAATGTGGCAGATTAAATTTAATACAAGAATGTGTGAAGTGATGCATTGTGCCAGGAGGAATGAGCAGAGACAATTTATAGTAAAGGAAAGCACTGCAGTCAGTGTGTAGGAGTACAGATATCTGGAGGGATAAGTACTTAATTGTTGAAGCTGTTAGGCAGATTGGGAAAGTATACAATAGAGCATATGGCATTCTGGGATTCTTTAAATAGGGACATAGCTTCCTTACTTTTGTAATCTATGGTGAACCTTTATCACACAATGGTTCAGCCTCAGCTGGAATACAATTCTGGGTTGTACATTTTAAGAAGAATGTGAAAGTATAACAGAGTGCACAAAGGATTTAGAAAAATTATGGAACTGAAGTTACATTGATAGAATGGAGAACCTGGGACTATTCTCCTTTGAGGAGAGGAAATTGAGAGAAGGTTTAATAGAGATGTTTGAAACCATGAGGGCAGCACAGTGGCTCAGTGGTTAGCACAGGGGTTAGCAGTGTTGCCTCACTGCACCAGGGAACCTGGGTTCGATTCCAGCCTCGGGCGACTGTCTGTGTGGAGTTTGCACATTCTCCCTATGTCTGTGTGGGTTTCCTCCGGGTGCTCTAGTTTCCTCCCATAGTCCAAAGATGTGCAGGTTAGGTGGATTGACCATGCTAAATTGCCCATGGTGTTCAGGGATGTGTAGATTAGGTGGGTTATATGCGTCTGGGTGGGATGCTCCAAGGGTTGGTGTGGACTTGTTGGGCCGAAGGGCCTGTTTCCATACTGTAGGGGTTCTATAAAATTAAAAAATACTAGACAACATAGATAAGGTCAAATCATTCCCATTGGCATAAGGGTTAGGAACCAGATGACACCAATTTAAGGTTGTGAGCATAAAAAAAATCAATGGCAACATGAGGCAATGCCAATTACTGAGAGTAGTAAGGATCTGGAATACACTACCTTTCCAGATTCCAGAATGGTGGAAGATTCAAATCAAAAAGGAATTGGATAATTCTGTAAAGAGGAAAAAAAAATGCAGATCTATGGGGAAAAGACAGGGGAGAGCTACTGTCTAGCTGTTCTTAGAGAGCTGACACTCACAATGTGTCAAATAGCTTCCTTCTGTGCTGCAACTGTTCTATAATGCAATGGTCAGCCCATTGTAGTTTGCCAGAACTTATTAGCTTTTTATTAAAAAAAACAGCTATCCAATTTTGTTCTCTTCAGTATCATCATTAATCTGGAATATATTTCGTACCATTTCAATGCTATCTGCAGATTCATCCATTTAAAAAAATAATTGCAGCTATGACTGGAGGGCATTTAAAGGTGTTCTGTAATAGTAAATGCAGGAAACTAGAAATTGCAGAAATACCAGGAAAGCTGCATTATTTAATTCAGCACTGACCTCCACCACTTAGAAGGACAAGGGCAGGAAACATGTACTATCAGTGGGTCACAATTCTTGATTTCCCTCCTGAACAGCAGGTTTCAAGAAGACTGCTCACCAATACCTTCTCAAGGGCACTTAGGGGGTTTGCAAGTGATGCTCAGAGCTACAAATTATTTTTTAAATGGTATTTGCTCTTCTCGAGATCCTTCTGTTGCTGATGTACGACTTAATGTGACATCATTAATCCCTATGTAAATCTTCAGTTTAACCATTAAAATATCAAATATTTTCTCATTCTGACAATGTTCTACAAATAAATTTATGCAAAAGTGCTGCTTTTGAGTTATGTATGATTGGACATAATATTTTAGAATAAGGCAAATTTTCATCTCCTATTTTTGTTAGAAACTAATTTGCTTTCTCTCAATCTCCACTGATTTAAAATTTTTTTTCTCACTGTTTTCCATGGAATTTCATACAGGTTCACCAAGAGGTATAATTACAGAGAAGGTCGATGTTTAAATAAGCCAGCTATTTTTTTGGTTTCTGTCGATAGGATTGAGGCACAAATTGTTGCAGCGAATCACACAATGTGACTTTAAACAAATACAGAATTTAGAAACCAGCCTTGGAGAGATTTTAACAATTACACATTATCACCACACAAAATGGTTTCTTCCTCACATGACAACATATTTTAATCAGCTTTCAGCACATTATTGTTCAGAATATTCTGGAATTTGCTTTTACAAGTACATAGTTATGCCAATTTTCAGTGTAAAGAATTGAGGAAATTTGCATGGGATTGTGATTTACTTACTTTTATTTACTTTTTCTCATTCTTCTGTGAAACCTCAGACAATACCTTCTTCTGCACTGTAACATCCTCTCAGTCAGGAAGAAAAAGTTGTGTTCCTCAGGGTCATGTCCTGGGCCCAACTATCTTCAACTGCTTCATCAATGCCCTTCCCTCTATCATATGGTCAGAAGTGGGGATGTTTGCCGATGATTGTGTGATGTTCAACACAATTTGCAACTACTCAGATCCTGAAACAGTCCATGTTCTGGGCAAGTTCCAGGCTTGGAATGACAAGTGGCGATTCACATTTGCGCCACACAAATGACCAACTCCAATAAGAGACAATCTAACCAGTACCCCTTGACATTTAGTAGTGTTACCTACACTGAATTTCCCTATTATCAACATCCTGGGGCTTCATGACACTCAACTAGACTCACTAAAATAAACACTGTGGGTACAAGAGCAGGTCAGAGGCTAGGAATGATGCACTGAGTAGCTCAAAACCTGTCTCCCCAAAGCCTTCAACCATCTTCAAGGCACAAGTCAGGAGAATACTCTCCACTTGCCTGGTTGGGTGCAGCTCCAACAACACTCAAAGCTTGACACCATCCATGGCAAAGCAGCCTGCTTGATTGGCACCACATGTGCTAGCATCCATTCCCTCCACCACCGATGCTCAGTAGAACAGTGTGTATTATCTACAAGATGCATTGCAGCAAATCCACAACCACTTCCATCTGGAGGAACAAGGGATACATGGGAACACCACTACCTGCAAGATCCCCTCCAAGCCACTCACCATCCTGACTTGGAAATATATTGCCATTCCTTCACTGTCGCTGTGTCAAAATCCTGGAGTTCCCTGCCTAATAGCATTGTGGGTCAACCCACAGCAGGTGGACTGCAGCAGTTCAAGGAGGCAGCTCACCACCACCTTCTCAAGGTCAACTAAGGATGGGTAATAAATGCTGGTCAGACAGCAACGCCCATATCCCATGAGCACATTACAAAAAAATTTCCACAGTGTCTTTCACAACCTCAGGACATCCAAGAGCATGATAAAGCCAATGAAGTTTTTTTGATTTGGAACCCCTGTGTAGTGCATCTGTCCATTTTGGGGAGCAGGCTCCCACAAACAACAATGAAGTCAGTTTTCAGACAGACAAACAGGAGGCTGGAAGAACCCAGCAAGCCAGGCAGCATCTGGAGGAAAGGAGCAGTCAACGTTTCGGGTATTACCCTTCTTTAGGACAATTGGTTTTAGTGGTAATTTATAAGGCCATCTAAGATTGGAAATTTCAACCACTAACTGAAGTTTGTAGATGATATCATCAGCAAAAAGATAAAATTATTGCTGAAATGCAGCAGTGTTAAGATTGTAAAACATTATTGGTTCAGTCTCAGGCAGAGTATCATGTTGAAATTTATGCATCCTGTTTTCAAAAGTGCAGTGATGTAATGCTTCCCCAGCTCAGGACATTACATTATTAAAAGAGAAATCACACACAAACGGATTTGTACCTTGTTAACTACTCTTGGGTTACTGTGAGCTGTTCTAGTCACCTTGTCTTAAGAAGGATGCATTGACTTTGGAGGGTGTGCAAACTTGCCCGAATAATATGAGTGCTCCAAGTCATAAATTACAAGGAGAAATTGCACAAATCAGCGTGGCATGCCTTCGGATTTAGGAGGCTGAGTGGTGATTTGATCTAAGTTTTCAAGATATTGAAGGGAGCAGATAGGATAGATAGGGAGGGATTATTTTTCACTGGTTGTGGATTTTGAACTAGGGCACATAGTCCAAAAATTAGAGCCAGACCTTTCAGGATTC